GGAGTGGGAGGGCAAGGCAGTTTCGCTTGAGCAGCGGAGGCCGCATCGAACGCGTCAGCTCACCGTTGCTCGAGGCCATTCCTACGGATACCGGACCTAGGCCTGATTGAAAAAGTGCCTTGACGGTAATCTTTCCACGTAGGTCGCCCCCCTACTCGAAACAGTACGGGGCGTCCTAGGCACCACCGGGAACTGCGTGGGTGTGGGGTGAGTAGGAGGGTGTTGCATTACTCGAGCAGAGATCAGGAGAAGCTGTCCGTCGCGATAGATCGTGAGATGGATCAGGCGTTTCGCCGGATGAATACCATTGCGGCTGGTGAAGAGGCCAAGATGCTTCGCCGGATGGATGATAAGGTCCGCAGGTTGGAAGCTAAGAGGGATCGAGTATTCGAGGAGATGGATCGTCGGATAGATGAAGAATATTCCCGAATCGATCGGCACCAGGACGAAGACCGGTTGCTGGGGGAGTAGGGTATGCTAAGTTGTGGTAGCATCATGCAGAGGGGGGAGTAGTTGGAGGAACAGGTCCAGTTGTCTGTATGGTTTGTTGAGCGTCTTATCTCACAGTGTAGAATAGAAGTAGTCCCATTCACATTTAACGCTTGCATCTCTGTCTGTGCTCTCGTCATTCGAACGGCCCCTAGCTCTCTTCCTGGGACCAAGCACCAAAATCCTGTCTGTGCAGACTGTCTTCAAGAAAGCGCGGAGGGCCGCGAAATGCAGGTGAACAAGTACCAGAAGTGTTCCAGGTATTCTGATGTCTTTGTCATCACATCTATGTACGCCTACTGCCGGTAGCAGGCAGTGACGTGGTCTATATAACAATGCTCTCCAACACCATGCCGTTTTCCACAATACAACCCACCCCATTTTCCAACCCGATGCCAACACCAGAAAAGCCAAACAATGCTATCCCGCCTATGCAATACTCGGCCATGCCATGCAAAACACCCAGACTCCAAGAGTACGAAAAGCAAACCACATCCACCGCCAAGGGAACAAGCCATACGATCAATCCAAGGCCTCTCCGCTCAGAATCCCTCTCAGAATCCCGGCCCCCAGCCCTTCCACAGCCCCTTCCATCTCCCGCTCCCCAACACAGCTGGCAACCCTCTTCTCGTCAGCTGCCAGACCGCTGCCGCCGCTCCCGCCAAAGGCAAAAACATCCTTCTTCTTCCTGCCCCGCTTGGGGGTGGGCGTACCACCCTGCAGCAGCGCCACAAACGAGCCGCTCTTTCCGTCCACGGGTGCGACCAGAGAAAGCGTCTCCAGGCTCCCCACGACCTCGCGAAACTCGGAGGACGAAAGGGGGTGGAGGAGCGAGTCCTGGGTGCAGAGGGTGCAGTACGCCGCGTAGAGGGTTTTGATGGTCGGGGCCGTCACGCCGCGCGTTCGGGAGGAAGGAGTAGTGGGTGTGGAGGCGGCTTGGGCGGCCTGTGTGGAGCGGTTGCGTTTTTCGATGGCCATGAGCGAGCACAGAGCCGCCTTTTGTTGTAGGTTGAGCGTCTTCAGCCGCTGACTGGCGCCGTTGCTGAAGGCCGCGGCGGTGACTTTGTTGAGGTGGGCTATGCTCACGCGCGGGGCGGTGGAGACGGTAAGATGCTGAAGAGATCTCTGAAGCTGCTGGGCCCCCGTAGGACGGGCTGGGGAGGCAAAGTTGCGGTTTTCGCCGAGGACTTTGCGTGACGGGCTCTGCTGGAGAAGGTTCTCCTTGATTTCGTTTTCGTGCTTCATGCGGGTTTCGGATTCGACCAGATCGAGGGCGCGGCGGCAGACTTCAAATGCGCGGCGCAGATCGCCGGTTTGGCTGGAGACTTTGCGCGAGCAGAGCTCAATGGCCGCCGGGTGGAAGAAGGGGATGAAGTCGGGCGCGGAACCCTGGGGGGCGAGGGTCTTGAGGCGTTCCGTGATGATCCGCTTGACCTGGGGTGCGGTATAAGGCAAGAACGGGAGGAGTTCAGGCTTGAGGTTGCGCGACTTGAGACGAGGGAGGAAGCGGTCGGTCAGGTCTAGCGCGTTGGCGATGCCCACCATGGTAAGGCGCGCGGTGGGCAGCAGCGACCATTCAAACACGCGGTAGAGACTCTCGGGGTCCATGGTAAGGATGTGGTCGATCTCGTCCAGCACCACCAAAAAGACATTAGTGGATTTTTTGTGGACGAAGAGTTTCTGCAGAGCCTCGACAACGTCGTCTTCAGACATGTCGGCGTCCCCGCCGAGTTGGTCCAGTAGGGTGATGTAGAGGTCCTTGGATGACTTGATGCTCATGCAGTTGATGTAGGCCTTCCGTACAGAATCCGACCCAGACACCACCTCGTCGGTAATGCTGTTCACCATCGCACTCTTGCCTGTACCGGGGGGGCCGCTGACGTAAAGGCATCCACTGGGGCGAGTTGTATTGCAGCGTTCGAGGAACTTGTGTAATTGCTCGCGCTCGTCGTCGCGTCCGATTAGTTGTCCGGGGCCTGCGCTGCGTGAGAACAACTGCCTCGCCTGGTGGTAAACCGTCTGGAGAGTAGTCGGAGTGAGGGGCGTTTGAGGTGTCATCCGCTTCGAGAGTCTGCCAACCGACATGACGCGGTGGCGGGGAGTTGTTGTGCCCCTAGCGAAGACATCGTAATGGCGTGGTGTTGAGGGAGTGACGGGGGCGACAGTAGCTGGGGGTGGGGGTTAGCATCTAAGTTAATACGTCCGCTACCGACATCGACTTACAACTTTTGACGGTACTGGCGATCGAGGTCCGTCGGGAGTGGCACTTTGTGGGTGTAGGGTCAGGCTCCCCCTGAGAATCAGACTCGGGCTCGTTGTTTTCCTTGTTCTCCTTGTCGTAAACCGAGCTGAGTTCCTTCTCGATAGATTTCTTCGGGGTCCGCTTCGGGCGTTTTGCGGAGAAGTCGAGACTCAGCGTGGGCTCTGGAAGACGGTTGTCAATAGCGATTCCATCGGGGCAAGTCGATCGCACTTACCCTCCTCTTGCCCAGAGCTGCGTGTCCTCTTTCCCAGAGCTGTGAGTGCCATTTTTACAATACAATTAAATTAAATGTGGTAGGCGCAGTTGAATTGTTGATGTTCAATTCGGAAGAGGAAAGGACGAAGCTTGGGGAGGAAGGTGTTGAGGCCAAGAAGGGAGCTCTGGTCCACATGTAAATTGGCGCTACGCGCCTCCCGGCTCGTGGAACGCGACCGCGTCGCGGGACCTTGACGCGCTTGAGCGCGAACCACTTAAAGCCGGAATGTGGCGTATGTGGTTGTGGCTTGAATGCAGCCACAGTGGCTGGCGGGATGTTCCTTATCAGTTGGAGAAGACTTGACCCCACATTCCCCGCACGGACAAGAGCGCACCTCAAGCGCACAGTGGAAGGGGGCGAACTCCGTTTGCCCCAAGGCCGTATTGTGGGTCAAGGCAGCGCCTGACCACAACTCCTTGTGGCACTTATAATAGCACTCTTTCGGCGTCGTCGTTCCTGAATTCTAAGAGATATGCATATCACCGTATTACGCTCGCAGATGTCACGAGCCGGTATTTTATCAGTGGAGGCACGGACACGACGATAGCATCAGAGTGGTCATGGCAAGGACCGACGACCAAGCAAAGTCAGTGGACACGCGCTACAATGCTCGTGTTGAAAGTTTAAGGGATAAAGAGTATCCTATGCTAAATGGTATGTAACTTCATTACTTTTACATGTAGCAGATGTGGATGGCTAACCAAATCACAGGCTCTATCTACCTCGACCATGCCGGGACTACCCCCTACCCCAAGTCCTTGATGGACAGATTCGCAAAGGAGATGACTTCAAACCTGTTCGGAAACCCGCATTCTGCGTCGGCTTCATCCCAGCTTTCGACCGCACGAATAGAGGACATTCGTCTACGGGTGCTGCGTTTCTTCAATGCTGACCCCGCCGAATTCGACCTCGTTTTTGTAGCGAATGCGACTGCTGGAATCAAGCTGGTCGCTGATGCCCTGAGGACTGCTCCGGATGGGTTCGATTATTCCTATCACCAGGCAAGCCACACAAGCCTCATTGGCGTCAGAGAGGAGGCTCGAAATAGTCTCTGCCTCGACGACCAGGAGGTTGATGATTGGCTTGGCGGAGGCTGCCCTTTCGAAAATGATAGCGAAGACCGCCCGGTTCTGTTTGCTTACCCGGCACAGTCCAACATGGATGGGCGGCGGTACCCCCTGAACTGGGCTGAAAAGGTCTGTCGTGGTGGGACGAGGAAAACATACACGCTACTAGATGCAGCCGCGTTAGTCTGTTCCTCCCCACTCGACCTGAGTCAAGCCAATGCAGCTCCCGATTTTACCGTCCTCAGCTTTTACAAGATCTTTGGTTTCCCAGATCTGGGCGCATTGATCGTGAGGCGGGATGCTGAGGAGGCATTTGACACGAGGCGATATTTTGGTGGTGGCACGGTTGACATGGTGGTCTGCTTGAAAGAGCAGTGGCATGCACCAAAGGCCCAGTTCCTACACGAACGTCTCGAGGATGGGACATTGCCCGTTCACAGCATCATTGCGCTGGATGCGGCGCTAGATGTACACAAGCAGCTGTTCGGCTCGATGCGGGATGTCGCATCCCATACAGCTTTCTTATCAGCGATGCTCTACACGAGGCTTGAATTGTTGAGACACGGGAACGGCCAATCAGTTTGTGTTCTTTACTCACCGGGCCCAGAGACGGCGAACAATGGCCTTTCCAGTGGCCCCGTTGTTTCCTTCAACATCCGCAATAGCCAGGGGGCTTGGATAAGCTTGGCCGAGGTTGAGAAACTCGCCACCTTGAAAGGGTTTCATATTCGAACTGGCGGTGTCTGCAACCCTGGAGGCATCGCCTCGGCTCTGGGACTTGAGCCGTGGGAAATGAGACGAAACTTCAGCTCAGGTTTTCGCTGCGGGACTGACCTGGATATCATGGCCGGCAAGCCAACTGGCGTCATCCGGGCAAGTCTCGGTGCCATGAGTACCATCTCCGACGTAGACAGTTTTGTCGAATTTATTGCCGAGTTCTACCGGGATGCATCGCTGTCTCCGGCTAGAACAGAACCGGTGCCGCAGCCCCATGACCCGTCACGGCTTCGAATTCACAGCATGTCTATCTACCCCATCAAGAGCTGCTGTGGGTTCCAGGTTCCTTCGGGTACTGATTGGGAAGTGAGGCCCGAAGGGCTTGCTTGGGATAGAGAATGGTGTCTAGTGCACCAAGGCACCGGCCAGGCATTGAGCCAGAAAAGGCATTCTAAGATGGCCCTCATACGCCCGGCGCTTGATTTTGAACGGGGGCAGCTGCGCGTCAGCTACGCGGGGGAGTTGCCGGCTCACCAACCCCGAGAAATCAGTATACCTCTCTCGAAAAATCCCTCTCTTTTCCGTTCCTCGTCCTCGCGCTCGAGGTCCTCCCGTGTGTGCGGGGAGGAGATCCAGGCGCAGACATATTCATCCACGGCCATCAACAGTTTCTTCTCCGACGTCCTCGGTGTGCCCTGCTTATTGGCGCGGTTCCCCGCGGGCGGCCACGGTAAGAGCATGCGGCATTCCAAGGCCCATCTCCAAAAACATCAACTCTCCCTCCTTCCGACGGCCAGGCCCGCCCTCCCAGGCTCATTTCCGCCATCACCTCCGGACTCGGACACGGAAAAGACGGTTTCGCGGCGGATATTACTCTCTAACGAAAGTCCCATACTCGCCATTACTCTCCCGAGCGTCACCGAACTCAACCGAGAAATACACCTGTCCAAGCCCGGCCTCAAGGAGGTCTCGCCCGCCGTCTTCCGGGCCAACATAGTCATGACCCCTGCCGACCCAGACGTTCCTTTAGCGCCCTACGCCGAGGACTCTTGGTCAGGCATAAAAGTCGGCCCGCAACAGCACGAGTTTGAAATGCTGGGTGCATGCCGGCGGTGTCATATGGTCTGCATCAACCAGGAAACGGCGGAAAGAGCGAGGAGCCGTTTGTGACGCTGTCAAAGACCCGAAGGTTTGACGGGAAGGTGTTCTTCGGGGTGCACATGTGCTATAATGACAGGGATCAAGGAACATTGGGATTGACGAAGGAGAGGCAGTTCCCAACAGTGAGAGTTGGGGACGTTGTTGTGCCGGAGTGGCGGAAAGGGGAGTAAACGGTCCGGGGGAGAGAAATGAGGTGCGGATGACCGAGTCAGATCTCGGTAGTGGTCATCGGGGTTGGGGAAGACGTGGCAATTCGTGCTTAAATGTAGTTAAGTGGGCTGTCTCACCGTCTAACGCTGCGACTTGCGAACCCTCAAAACTGCATAAGACACGAAAGCGACAGCAGCAAATGAGCTGAATGAGTGAACCAGCCAGTGGTGTTTGTTTTTCGAATCAATATAACTAACGCCCACGGCAAACTCCGCCGCTTCTAGCTAGTGCGAGCTGATCATTTGCGCCGCTTCAAATTTTCTTCCCTTATTCAGCCAACTTTCCATTTCAATTATTCTTATTTATTTGCCAAGCCAGGCGGTCTGTTTGGTTCTTGTTTTGAGTTCTAACAACCTGACTCAACTTACAACCTTAATTGCTTCATTATTTCCCTTTTCGGACAGCATTAAAGTGGTACCTCCGATGGTCGTCCACTCTCCCGGATCCGCCTCCGGGTCCGGGTCAAGCCAAGAATTCTTTAATCTTGCTGTATACCAACAACGGCAATACAGGGAGGCATTCAACGCGGCGGTTGCAGCCGGCGAACTCAAACCACTGGTCATACCCTGGTCCTTTGTCGGCAGTTTTTTCCTGCCGCTTCTTTACCTCAGCATCCCCCACACAAACCGCCCATGGCTGTATCGCATGCGCTGGCTCGTCGCCGCGGCCGTCGTCCATCTCAACGCTCGCCTACTGCAGACCACATCTGCCATAAATGAGGCAGTGGCCTTTGCGACTGGGCTACTGGCGGTCTGGGGGACCATCTCGGCGTTGAGGCTGCTGATCTTTACTCGGCCGCAGTGGGAGGCAGCGAGGGTTGAGCGGCGGCCGAGACGGACTGAAAACGGTCATGGCCTCGGAGGGGAAAAGGGGAAGCCAGTTGCCATGGTGCCGCCCGATGAGAGCGTTGCCGCCTCCCTCCCCCACAACGAATACTTCTGGCAGCCCTTCCCAGCCACTGCGTCTTACCTTACCCGTCTCGGCTGGACTGCCGACCTTCTCACCGCGTGCCGTGGCGCAGGATGGAACTTTTCCATTTCATCCATCCCCCACCCCCCCTTCCCTACCAAACCCCTAGACGGCAACGAACTAGTCCGTCTAGACCTCATCCCCCTCGCCTCGCGCACTGGCACCCGCCGCTCACAAACCTATGCCGCCTTCCTCCGCTCCCGCCTCCTCGAGTTCGCCCTCTCCTACCTGACCATCGACATCCTCACCGGCACCATGCGCCACGACCCCTACTTCGTCCTCGGCCCAGACTACGCCGCCCAGGGCCACCCCCTCCCGGCGCTGTACGCCCGCCTGCCCCTTCCCGCGGTGACCATCCCCGTGCTGCGCAACATCCCCGCGCTCGCGGGCATCATGGCCGGCATGCACCTGGAACACTCCCTCCTCCAACTAGCCATCGTCTTCCCACTCCGCGGTCTGTTCGGGGCCCGCGCCGAGCTCTGGCAGCACCCGACCCTCTTCGGGGGCTTCGTGCCCTCCGTCCTCGACCGCGGCCTCGCCGGCTTCTGGGGCGGCTGGTGGCACCAGACCTTCCGCGCGGGCTTTGTCGCGCCCACGCGGTGGTGGTTCGCGTCGAGGCGCCCCAGCCATCCCCGGGGTAACCCTCCGGCTGACAACGGGCCCGACAACAAACCCTCCGCCGCCCCCCCACCCCTCCTCGAAGCCTTCTTCGCCTTCCTCCTCAGCGGCATCCTGCACTCCGGCCGGCGGACACACCTTCCGTCCCGCGCACCACGCGCTCCTTGGACCTCCAATCGCCTTCTTCACTCTGGTAAACCCTCGGGAATTGGTCTTCAATCCAAATCTTTTTTTCCAACGGAATAACAACAACGAATCCCCCAAAAAGGAAAAAGACGCGCCACCGCCTCCCCAACCTCCTCTACACCCTCGCCTTCCTCCAACTCACCGCCTGGGGCCTGGTCGACGACATGGGGCGGGCGGGTGTGTGGCTGTTTGAGCCGGTGCCGTTTTCGGTGGTGCGCGCGCTGGGGCTGGTCGGCACGCCGGGGGATGGGGCCTGCTGGCGGTGGGATGGGGTGGCGTATGGGTTGAGGTGGTGGGATGGTGCGTACGGTGTGGGGGCGGGTGCGGGTGCGGGTGCGGGGGGGAGGTGGTGGGAGGGGGGG